GGTAGCACAGGTGGTCGTACGTCGCGCCGTTGGACCCGCAGACAGGTGCAACTTGATTGGGCTTGCACTTGGCGAGCTTGGACAAGCACGACAGGTCGCATGCTTTGGCCGTGCTCGCAAAGCACTGCACCTTGCGGTTCTTGCACTTGGCGGCGAGGCAGTCGCACTGGTTGCTGAACGAGACGTCGTACGCAGTCGTAGAGTCAGAGAGGGCGCAATACACCACTTTTTTGGAAGATGTACAATTGGCCGCACAGGTGCCTTCTTGTACTAGCCCCAAGCTCGAGACAATGACGGGCAGTGTCAGCAGCGCGACAATGAGACGATGCATGGTGGGGAAAAATCAAAAGTAATTGTTTCGAACCGAGCGCGGCTTGTGGCGGTTTGACGTTGAGAAGGACCACGTGCAAGAATAGGATCCGTCGAAGATATATTTATTTCTAACGCACGTTAACCAATAGAAACGCAGTGGCACGTCGCTGTTAACGCCCAACATCCGCTTTTTCGACGCTCGGGTGTTTGCTCGGGTGGTCCTAAATGATCGTTCGCAGCAGCGCCGATGTGCTCATACACCTTGCAAGGACCGCGGCGTCGTGGGGCGCACCCGGAGCCTCCGCATGAAAGACTGCGTGGACAAGAAAAGTCCGCACCGATGCCTGGGCAATCGTAGCTCGGTGAGCGGGCGAAAGCGGGCGAAGAAGAAGATGGCTAGTTGCAAGAGCAAGGTCGTTTCTGCAAGGTCAGTTTTTGGAACACGAACGCCAAAACGCAATTTTCGTTTTACATGGCGAAAGGACCACCGCGCCCATCAATGCGAGGGTACGACTGCCAACGCCAAAAATGAGAGCGTCAAATGCCGTTCTCGAGTTTGTGAGGGCGCAATGCATTAGAGATCGGTCCAAAATATGGGTATTTCGCGCCTGCAAGGAGTCGAAACGGACTGTTCAAGAGAAGGCGGCTCAGCGAAACCAACGACTGGTGGTCAGAGCCAAGCATTCTAGTTTCCGATCTCCGCTAAGCAACCCGCCACGCCTCACCCGAGGTGCAGCGGTAATGCAGGCCTCGCGCCCTTTATCCCCCTGAGCGAAGAAGCCATGTGAAAATGTGCGGCGACAGGATTTCTATATTTGAAGCCAGTGATGTGCACTGTCTTGGTACACCCTGGTCGCCGCTTGAAGCCCCTCGCTCAAGACAGCGACTGGGAGTGTCAGTAGCATGATCATAAGGCGCTTGAATCCAAACGTGATGTATGGATCGACCGATAGATAGACAATATACATGCAAAGGACTGTGTACTCGAGGTGCATGCTACAAGGATTCCACTGCACTACTCAAATGAGGCGTTGCTGCTGCTGCTTCATGCACTCGACCAAGAAGGCGAGCTTTGCGTCCATCTCTTGCATCTTGGCATCGGCGCTCTGGCCGCTTGGCGCCACCGCGCGATCCAAAGCCGCGGTGATCTGGTTGACGCCGCGTACCGGCTCCTCGACGTCCACGGACGCTGCGTAGTGCTTGAGCTTGGAGATGAGCCGCTCGGCGCGGGGCTCGGTAATGTTGATCCCGAGCGCGACGTCCTTGGTCGTCCACACAGTGTGCGACTCGATCTCCATGCGGTTGGTGAGCTTCTTGAAGAGGTCCGGGCGCCGCAAAATGTAAATCTTAATCACATCCCGCATGACAAGGAAGAACTCGTCCACAAACGAGCGCTTGCTACAAGAAAACATGAGCAATGCATCTCGGAAATCGATGATGCCATACCCGAGGTTAATGTCAACAATCTCTTGGTGGGACGTGATGACAACCGCGAGCATGATGTTGACCAGCACGAGCGTCACGATTGACTGACTGACCCAAAACCACACGACCGCGAGGTCGTTGACGTCCTTGATGAGGTCGTAGCTGTAGCCGCCAAAGAGCATGTTGATGCACGTCACCATCGACTTGTCGAGGCGGCTGAATTCTTCGAGCTGCGGACCAAAGAGGAGGCACCCGGACGTCGCGAGCGCCATGACCACCAAGAGGAAGATGAAGAGGAACGACCCGAGGCGCTTCACACTCGACACGATCGTGTTGGTCAAGACGTTCATGGTCGGGTGAAACTGAAACGCTGCGAGCACACTATACAAAACACAAGATAAGACAATCATCTCCACAAATCAAAAAATGAAAAAAACGTACTGGACCACGAGCTGGAGGCACGCAATGATCGATACAATGTACACAAAGTCGATCGCGCCGCCAAACGAGTCGATGATGTCCGACACGTTCGGCTGCGTGCTGTTGCCCATGTAGTCGCGCTGGTTGTATTGACCGGGCGCCGTCGTCACGTTGGCCGTCTCGGGGAGCTTGTACAAGTCAGTGTAAAAGTTGTCGAGCGCTTGGATTTGGCCGTCGAGATCCGAGTTGAAGAACTTGTTGCAAACTTGGATCCACGCAGCGTAGTACAAGACGACAATGACGATCGAGCACCACTCGATAAAGGTCGTGCCAATGTCGCAGGACCACGGGTCCTTGCCGCGGAACTGACGAGCAAGCATCCAGAGCCGGCGGCCGAGCACTTGGAGAACGAGAAGCCCGACGATCGCGTCCATGACGATGTTGATGTGCGACGTCGAGTACGGGTTGGTTGGAATGCTCTGCACTTTGTACGTGGGGCTGCAAGCGCCGCCTTCTTCGACTTCGACTTTGAACACTTGGTACGTAAAGAGGTCGAGCTGGCCGTTGTACGTCGTGATCTTGACCAAGACCTCCTTTGTCGTCGGCGAGAGGTAGTAGCCACCTTTGGTGCCTTCGACTTGCCAGCGCTTGAAGCGATCGTACGGCTTTAGGTTGCTGATCGGAATGTACATTGTGTACCACGGAAAGCGGCGCAGGTTGCGCTCCCGAAGGTTTTCGACCGGTCCATCGATCGGTGAGTCCAGCTCAAAGTCAACGCACGGCCCGTAATGGTTTTTGAGGTCACTTGAGCTCTGGCACGCGGTCTTGGGCATGTTGAAGACCGAAACGTCGACCGCACCAACGAGCTGGTTGTACGAGCTAATGCGACCCGCCACAATCGTGCCTAATGCATCGCGTCAACTCAGTTTTGTGCGAGTTTTGTGCTCGGTACCGTTGATGGTCACATTCTGAAAGACGGACGGCAGCACCGAGTTGTTGATCCACTTGGGAATGTCGTCGAGGGCCCGGATTTTCATAAAGCTCACAACGGTCTTGGACGGCACGACGTCCTATGCCATGGACGATGAGCGTTTCATGCTGTAGACTGGACGTTTCATCAAATGGATGGCTACCGCTGCTTTCGGGTTGAGCTCCGTCGCCACGCCGTGGTCGGCCATGTACACTTGGTGGATCGGCGTGTGCGTCAGCACCATCGCGATGAACGCAAAGAAGAGGAGGAGCGGTCCCGGCAGCGTCATGAAATGCCGGCGGAGCTGCTTCCGGGCCTTGAGCGCGACATGGATCGTCTCAGTTGGGATCGTCGCCGTCGGCGGCGGCGCCATCTCGAGCCCGTACGCATCTGGGCTCGCAACGTCAAAGTACTCGGCCTTCATGCTCCTGACCGCAAATGTAAAAGTGTGTTCATTGCCCTGCACCTTCCAAATCGAACGGCAACTGGTTAGTACAACCGGGCACAGCGACCGCCAATCCTCCGCCAGCCTACCTCTTCTATTTGATTCTCAGTTCAACAACGACATGGCTGCCGGGGGTTGTGTTGGGTATCTTTAGAGTGGCACCCTTCCGTTTGGACCTTCGTGCGTGCTGATCCTGCAGCAGGGAGATGAATGCGAGACCATCCCCTTGGGACTCACGAGCTCGATGCAAGCTTGTGCTGACACCTTGGTACGCCTGAAACGACCCAAGATTGTACATTTTTGTCGTCCGAGGGTCCTTCCCACCGTGGGGTTGCGTATGAGTTGTTGTTCCAACACATGCCCCACGAGCCTTCCATAGCGGGTGCACAGCAACTCGTTGTGCTTGTCGAGACGCGTCGCAAGATTCTATCGCAATCCGACCAAGAGGAAAATCATTCTCTAATATACGCATCAGAGAGCACAAGCTTCCCAACAGTAGCACTCGGACCTCGTCTCTTCAACGACTATCAGCCTCAAGATTGAATGCCCGAAACACACGAGTGGTAGCGTCGACCAAACCTTGCCATTGAAAGCTCTACTTCAAGCATTGAAACCAACCCTTTTACTACGATCGCACGCATTCAACCCGACCAAACGCTTGAAAGAATGGCACAACCCGCTCAAAAGCGGAGGAACAACCCATGGAACAACCAGCACTCGATCGAATTGAAAAATCTGTCGGAAGTTATATTTATATGGACTGGACCCAGCAACAAACCGGCACGAGCCCACCATCGCGCTGCGTTTCTCTGGGGACTTTTGTGGTGCACAGGGCGTTTTGGCCACAGAAAAAGCCACGAGTCGCCTCCTCGCAATGAATGGGGTATGTGGTTGAGGGCACAAATACGCCGACGGAAATTCCTTGGACCAGACTAGCATCCAGGTCATACCCATGGTTTTCTCTCATGCAGCCAGCTGCGGTTCCCTGAGAATTTTCCAAAGTAGCTCTACGACTCGTGAGCAATCAATCGTCCCATGCTACAACTCGGACACTAGGTTGTGGACCGGGTTGTGGTCCTCAGGTCGGTCGGTTTACCCATTTTGGCTACTCTTCTGGTTGCAGCGCAATGTTGCAGACAGGGCACTGGGAAACAAACTCCAGTCCCCGCCCAACTACAGTACAGCGCAGTATCGATGTTCTAGTATAATGTCCTTCATTACGACCGATCTACTTGAGGCAACAACTGTGTGTTGGTGTATCCGCCATGCCAGCGGTGGGCGAGGCGGGTTGGCGTGTTGACAGACACGACAAATTTGGGCTGGGCTCGAGCTCGCTTGCTCTGCGCTTCGATCTTAGTCCCGTGTGTTCTACATGAAGTCTTCTGGATCGTTTGGCCTACGACCTCTTTATGAAAACAGCCCTTGCGAGGTGTGCGATGAATCGAGGGTCGCTTGCCGAGAGGCGATGACCAAGGATGCTCATGCTGCAGCATATAGTCGTTCATGGGGACAGCGGTAGTCGCACAAAAGAAGACAACTTGTCGAACCTTGCGACGACTAGAAGTATAGCTCCGAACGCTAGCATCTCTGCAGGCAGACTACCATGGCTTTGCCCAGGCGCTGTGGCGGGAAAGTTTGGCCGACCATCCCTTTTCCGGACAACATTATCCGGATATCGCACGTCACACTTTGTTGCTTGCGTCGACATGACCAGCGCGGCCGAGATCGAAGCGCTGCAGGTGCTCCTCGCCAAGGAGCTCTACCTCGAGCACGTACGCTTGCGCCTGCTGCTGCGACGCATCAACCACGGTCTTTGCATTAGGCGAGTCCGCTCTATGTTTCGTGCACGGAAGGTGACATCGAGAAGGTCACGTCGCTCCTGGCCGACGCTGCCACCGACGTCACGTGGCGCACGCCCGACGAGGGCTGGACGCCGCTGCACATGGCGTCGGCCATGGGCTACGACGACATTGTCGCGCTGCTACTGCGCCACGGCGTCGCCGCCGACGCGCTGGGCCACGTACGACTCGTCCTGACGCTTTCGCCGTCACGAGATGGCCATTCTGTAGGACGACGTGACGCCGCTCATGGCCGCGTCGATCCAAGGCCAGCTCTCGACGCTGCAGCTGCTCGTCAACCAGGGCCATGCCAATGTCAACGCCGTGACGACGGTTCATCCTCGGTATCGATCGACGCGCGTCATGCGAGCGATGTAGGATGGCACGTCGGCGCTGCATGGCGCCGTGCACAACCACCACTTGGGCTGCGTCGAGGCGCTGCTGGGCTTTGGCGCCGACGTCAACGCGGTCGACGCGCAGGGTATTTCCGCCCTCGAGATCGCGTCGTCGGCCGGCGACCTCGAGATGATCGAGGTGTTTGCGACCAAGGCGAGCGCGCCACTCAAGTTGCAAATGACCGCTGCCGTATGCTACATCGCCGTGCCTTCTGTGTACAAGTTGTCTATGTAGGATGGGACGACTGCGCTCCACGCCGCAGCGCTGCATGGACACATTGACATTGTGCAGTGGCTCATCTCGCACGGTTGTCCCAGCGACGCGCCCAACGACGTACGACGTCGTTATCGTCGTCATATCCGTTCTTATTCCATATGACTAGATGGGCCTCACGCCGCTGTACCTGGCGGCGCAAGAAGGTTTCGATGCGATCGTGCAGCTCCTATTGAACGAAAAGGCCAACGCCAACGCCGTCTCGAATGTCGTAGGTCCCACGACTCTTCGTTTCGTATCGACAACTTGTCCTTTTTGCGTAGGACGGGTTCACCCCGATCATGATTGCCGCCCAGATGGGCCACGTCGGCGTCGTCGAGCTCCTTCACGCGCGCGGCGCCCATCTCACATACCATACGCCGGTATACACTCCTGTCGCCCACTCTGTGGACCCAAGAAACGACGCCGTATGCGCTAGGATGGCTGGGATGCCTTGTACGTAGCTGTGCAGAACGGCCACGCGTCGGTCCTCGCCTTCTTGGTCACGCACGGCGCCAACGTCCACGCCACCTACAATGTACAAATTGTCCTAAATTTGGTCGACAAACACAGAGCACTTAGAATGGCATTACGTTGCTGTACACGGCTGCGCAAGAAGGCCACGTCGAGTGCGCTACGTACCTGTTGGACCACGCCAAGGTCCCGGTCGACGCGCCGCAAGCGGTACGCATGTTTGCGGACCAAATGGTGGACAACTTGTCGGCTATGCCGTGTAGATGGGCTGGACGCCGCTGCACATTGCTGTGCTCCACCACAAGATGGATATTGCGCAGACCCTTCTCTCGCACGGCGCCAACGTCAACGCTGTCGAGAATGAGGTACTCACTTGAACCTTTGGCAGCGCGTGCCAGCCGCATCATGGCTAGATGGGCGGCACGCCGCTGCATGTCGCCGCTGAAATGGGCAACCTCGAGATGGTCCAGTTGCTTCTCTCGCACGGCGCGAGCACCGCGGCCAAGCTCAAGGTAGCGATACCACCGAAAAGCAATACCACAATACACGGCTAGGACGGGTCGACGCCGCTCGAGACAGCCAAGAACACGGGCAACGAAGCGGTGCTTGGCCCTTTGCTGGCGTAGGCAGCATAGCTCCATTTTTGCATAACTTTGTGGAAGCTATGTCTGTTGAAAATGCCGGCGCACGTCGTGGCAATGCGTATCAAAGTGACGCAGTGGCGTGCCGAGCTGGTTCCTACGGCAGCAGTCGACAGTCGAGTCAAGCAGCCATCCGAGATGCATACATAAGGTCTTTGGCCCGCTCGGCGCTCGGCGGGTGCGTTGAAAAGTACTTGAGCGACTTTGGCGCGTCCATTTTGGCCCAATCGGCAAAAATCTATCAATGTATCAACTCGGAAGACGAGACGCGTCCCCGGTTGTACCGCCGGGCTCGCGCGCGGATCGTAGCAGGCTTTGGCCATGAGCTCAAGCCCGATCGCGTCGGCTTCCGACTCGTGCGCACGCGACTTTGGCAGGTTCACCCCCAGTGCGAACGCCTAGTACATGTTATACTGGCACGTAAACCGCTGCCAGTCGACGCCCATCCGTACCGAAGATGCAAGCGTGCTCGCTTCCGGAGACAGAAAGAGTAGAAAGAGAGAGAAGAGGTTGCCCACCGAGAGCTGCTCGGCGCTGTGACCTAAGACACAGGCGATGCTACAAGCCAGGAACGTACTAGTAGGCAAAAGGCGTACGTGCGAGCGCGTGCGCGACTTCATGGCTTAGCACGGCCGCGAGGCTGTCTTGGTTGCGCAGTAGCTAGAGAGCAAATGAGCAATATGGCTTCTTGCGCTTCAGGGCGACCTTGAAGAGCCCCGTGTACACGCAAATCTTGCCACCGGGAAGACAAAACGCATTGGGCTCGGGCGACTCGATCACGACAAAGTCCCACTTGAAGTCGGGTCGCTTGGACGCAGCTGCGATGCGCTCGCCCACGGCGCGCACCATCTTGGCCCGCTACAAAGCCAGGCGGTGACGCATCCGGTCGGACCGCCTCGAGGGCGTACCGGGTCGCTTGGCGGCACGATCGCATCCCTGTTGTCGCGAAGGATCTCGCGAAAGCTCATTTCGCCCAAGCGCCGCTCGGCCTCTAAACGAGCTCAAGGTTAATGCGTCCATGCGAGCGCTTCTGGCGGCGTACGTGGGGTCATGAGCATGAGGCGCCGGCGGCCTGTCTCGGGCACCGTCTCCACATGCGAGTAGATGTAGCCTAGCGCAGACGTCGATGATAACGATGCCATAGATTGAGAGGGCGGACGCACCACCAAAGGCTGCGGTCGCGAGCGCGCCGGCGGCAGCGCTTGCGCGGACGTACAGCGGAAGCGACGCCATCGTCGCAGAAAATCACGCCCAATTCGGCACACGGGCGGATTCGGCATCGTGTGCCGAATCTAATAACACGCACCCTAACACCAAACACAGCGGTTGCTCCAGGGTGGATATAATTGCAAACTCGATGGATGTGTCGTCATTTTGCACTAGTCTAATACCCTTTAGCTAATTGAATTGACGAGCCATACCGCCAAAGCGATAGCTACCATCGTAGGTGCTGGGACGGCACGCCGGATCGGTGGCGACGACTGTGCAGTACGGCGTCCCGCTCATGTACACATTGGTCGACCGACCAAACGCTGTGGGCGACCACGCCGCAACGCTCGTGTTTTCCAAAAACAAGTCCAGCATCCATCCCAGATGCGCTTGGTTCACATCGTCGGGAATATTTCTCAAATGTGGATTTTGCGCCAGATTCAGAGTTGTGAGACCGTTCAGAGCCCCCAGCGTTCGTGCTGGCAGCTCCGAGATGTTGTTGCCAAAGAGAGAGAGGCCGCCGAGCAGCGTGAGCTTGTGAAAAGACGCGGGCACGGTGCGCAATTGGCCTTGCTCGATCAAGAGCGAGTTGAGGTTGGTCCAAGCAGCGACCGTCACTTCGTCAATCTCGGTGATCCCCGAAACAATAATCTCGACATCGGTCAGCGTCGGCGGCAAGTATTTGTGGGCGATGGCCCGGGGCACGGCCGACACGTTGGTATACACGAGTACGATATAACTCAGCGATGTAAAGACGTCGGCCATGATGGGATTTGGCCACTCGACGATGGTCGAATTGTAGATTTCAAAGCCAAAGAGTTGCGGAAACCGCGCTAAATTCGGCACCTCAAGGTCCGGGCAATGCGCTATGATCAACAACTGCAACGTACTGGGGTGCAAGGCGCTCAACGCCGCCGGCACAGCTGCCTGGGAAATGCCCCGCGCCGCACAGTTAACGACTTGAACGACACAGCGACACTCCACCGTGAACCACGGGTTCACAGCGGCGAGGCAGCCAGGAGTGCATGGCGTGCGGAGTCCATTCCAGGACGAGTAGATGATGGATAGGGCGACGACAGTCGTGCCCCACGTGAGGCTTACGATGCGACTGACGGCGATCGTATAGCGCAGAAGTGCGACACCATGAAACCGGTTTCGTTTGCGGGGGGGCATCGGGGGGCGACTGGGGGGCGCGACGTAGCGAAGTCGACTGTCGTAGGCCATGCACAGCGTATACTCGACGTCCCGCAGGCTCCACCAGACACAAAGGCATGGCAACAGCCGTGTGATCGTCTCGGCCCCCGAGATGAGAAACAATTTTCGACCCATGAGAATCGCATTGTAAAACCACACGTCGTCGGACAGCACATCGTTCTTGTCTTGAATTGAGAGCATAAAGTACCGTATATAGGGACTGACACCAATCCACGGCAGGAGACAGACAAGGATCATGGTCAGTAGCGCGGGCACGAGCGCCGCTGCCGTGCGCTCGACGACGCGCGGTAGCTTGGCGAGAAAGAGCAGCGGTGTGAGCATCCCGCTGAGACCAATGCACATGGCGTACGCCAATATGAGCCCCGACGAAGTCGACTGTTTCGACATCGCGACGACCTCCAACGACTGCGACGCCAGCGACAAAGTACGCTGCACTTCATAGCGCCACGCAAAGAGCTCGCCCTGGCTGCCAAAGTGGGCCACGTACGTTGTCCAGAGCTCACCGAGGCGGCGAAAGCAAAGGCTCATCGAGAGAGCGCCGTCATCTGCCCGGCGCTTGCCCGAATCGCGCTCCAGTGTGAGGCGTTCGATGCGTTTCTCCAGTTGCCGGTAGCGAACCATGGACACGAGGCCTTCGCAAAAAAGCAATCCGACGAGAATGCAGGCCACCATCGAGGCCGTGAGGTCGGGCGGGAGGCCCAGCGTCCGCCGCTCGTAGCTGAACAAGTCCGACGTAATGTAGCGGTGGCAGTAGGCGAGGAAAAAGAGGTGCGCCGCAAACAGCGCGTGCAGCAATGCGACCAAGAGCCAGAGCCAGAAGAAGGTGCGCGCCGACAACCGGTGCTCAGTCGCCCGCCACGTCTTGACCTTCTCAAAGCGCACCGAGAGGACCCGTGCCAAGAGCGGCCGCAGTGTGCGCATCGGTTGCACCCCGACGTGTACTTGGATAAACGAATGGCTCTTAAATGCACCGCCTGTCTGATAAGAGGCGTCTATATCCAGGGGAGCGTTTCGCAACGGCTTCTTTGGCGCCTCATCGCATGCGTAGATGGATTGCCAACCCAGGCTACTTGGTTGCTCGAGTTGGTGGATCGTTATCGCTTACTAGTACTCGGTGGACTATCGCGTCGTACACGGTCTGCCTTTGTTCTCGACGCTGCCAACGTCTTGGAAGCCAAAACGTTTACTTTATGTACAGACGACAAAGGAATATACTAGTACACGTTTGCCAACCTAGTGTTGCGATTACAAAGCCAGCATGACGACCGACGCCACGGCCATCGAGACGAGGCTCGTGAGTGCGGCTCCCATTGCGGCCGACTTGGGCGTCGCGCCCGGCACCGTCGTCGTCGTCGGCTTGATGGTGGCGGTCGCATTGTCCGTCTTGTTGGCCGACGAGGCTTTGGGTGCGGGCGTCACGGTCGCTAGCTGCGACGGCGCCTTGGTCACGACCGTCGACGTGCCCGTGACCGTGAGGTTGGCGTAGCACGGCTTCATGGTGCCGTTGGCGTAGAAGAGGCCAAAGTGCTGCTCGACGTTGTCCGTGTCCGTCTCGTTCGAGTTGAACGCCATGTCAAACGACGTAAAGTAGTAGTAGTTCCAGTCCATTTGCTTGGCCAAAAGCGAAAAGTCGTTCAAGTATTTCTAACCCTTCATCAGACCACCATCGAGAGATGAAGATGAGAGCGTACCGCCGCCTGCGCCGGCGTCGACGGACCCGCTTTCGCAGCAAAACCACCGGTGGCCCAGCCCGTTTCCGAAATGAGAATCTTCTTCTTGTACTTGATGGCGGACGCGATCACCGGCTCCATGCGCTTGTAAAACCACGCGGCCGACTCGTTGGCGTTCTTCTTCTCCCAGTACGGGTATTGATTCGCCGACACAATGTCCACCTACGCAAGCAACATGGGCTACGAGCGCAAGAAACGCCGAGGAAATGCGTCGTACCGCTTCGACCATCGACGGGTTGGCGGCCCACGTGTCCGCATAGTCGGCAATTGTCACCGGTACGGTGATCTTGGCCTTGGCGAGCTCGTCCTTGACCTCCTGCATGTTGGCAATCGCCTACATCCGAGGTGAGTCAAATGGCAACAGATGCACAATCCTACAGTTTCCGGAGTCACGTCGTTGCGGAACACAGCGGCCGACCCGACGTGGATGCCAACGACGGTGCTGTCAATTAAACGACCCTCGATGAGCTCAGTGAGCTTGACTTTCTCCGCATCAAAGATCGACGGGACGTTGCCGACCCAGAGCCCAAGCCAGACCGTGAGGCC